GGGGGGGGGGGGGGGGGGGGGGGGGGATCATGCAATGTCAATACTCTTACAATTTTTAAAATGTAAATTCAAACACTTATTTTTTACATTTAATATAACCAATATCTACAAGTAACATCCTTTCAATGTGTACAACGTGCTTTTGTGAACTTGACTATTAGCTAGAAATGAGCAAATTAGTTTGAAATCGTCAAACCTGTTACTGTCAGCCCTGTTACTTTTCAGAGTAACAGGTTTTGATGTGGATAACAGGGATGACATAGATTAGGTGTCACCCTGTTTTTAAAGATTGTCTGTGTAAAATTCAAATATTTTAAAGGTCACCCTGGGTTTATTATTGAGCTAACGCCTATATCATTCAGTGGCATATGAGCATCAGTTACATTTTTAGTTAGTATTGTTGGTATTGTTACCATTACTATTGTTGTTAATGACTGGGATAAGAGTATCAGTCTCAATAAAATTCTTTTTTTCCCCCATAACTCACTGTCAATAATACATACATGTAAATTCAATTACAAACAAGAGCAGCAAGATGACTGCAGACCCTCACCCCAGTCTTGCAATGTTCAAGAAAGTAAAACCAAATTTCAGCATCAACATCTTGGTCTGGTTTCAGATGATCACAGATAGACCAAGATCTGATCATCTTCCTTGCCTAATAATTTAACCAAATCAGTGTATTTTAAGTTCTGTGAGAGGACACAGACAAACAGATGGACACATTATCTAGTTACAATACCCTTAAAACATTAGTTTTAACTTTGGATAGCTCTTAGAAATGTAATGTGCTAAATTAACAATGAACTGACTTTAACTGAACTCTATTGTCCTCCTACATTATCGACACTATTTTCCTGTTTAGCACTGTAAAGCTGCTTTGACAATCTGCATTGTATAAAGCGCTAAATAAATAAAGGTGACTTGACTTCACTAATACAACTATGCCAAGTAAGTGCAATACAATATAATGCAATTTAAAATGGTAAAACTTTGCAGTATTATGTAAACAAATATGCTGAAGAAAGTGTGCCCTGTCATCGCTGTTACTTTGGTCAGGCCTGTGACTTTGACGTCAATCCTGTTACTGTCATTAATTTCATAAAAACTGTAAAGATGATATTTGATACAGCCTTCCAGGTTTTTTTTTAATGTAACTATTTTATTTTGGACCTTTTTTAATATCTCTCTTGTAAAAATATATATTTTTCTTAATTGACATGTGGTCACCCTCCAAAATTAGGATGTTCTTGGTCATCTGAATGACAAATATACAAATATTTTTTAAAAATCCAAAATTTGAAACAATCCCAGTGAAAAGAGGAACTAAAATGCTGCTCATATAAGTGAAAGCGATCACATAGTTCTAATTAAACTATAGTATATAGTAACGCTTGTGTCTGTAACAGGGTTGACAAAAATACCAAAACATGAGGTAGAAAAATAGTCGTAAAAGAATAAATTGCTTAGCTTAAGATGGCACAATACAATTTCCTGTCATTTTAAGGTGTCTTCATTTCATGGATATTTAAAAAAAAATGTTAAACTCATTTAATTTTTTAATTTTTCCAACTGGAAAAGGCACCGATTTCATGTAATTACCCCGAAACATTGAGAGAAAAATGATTTAAAAATGAATGAGAAAAGATAGTGATGAATGGATGGGTTTAGGTTATACTGAATCAAGAGGCAACAAAAGCCCATTCAATTGCATGGGAGTTACTACTTACACATGTCTCTTGAATTTGGCAGGAGGGCAGGAATCTCACTTGGGATTCCTGGGAATTGGTTTCCTAGACCTAGAGGATTAGAGAAGTGGTTCATTGCTGAAGAAAATGTGCCCTATCATCGCTGTTACTTTGGCCAGGCCTGTGACTATGACGTCAATCCTGTTACTGTCATTCATTTCATAAAAATTGTAAAGATGATATTTGATACAGCCTTCCAGGGTTTTTTTAACGTAACTGTAACTATATTTTATTTTGGACCCTTTTTTAATATTTCTCTTGTAAAAATATATATTTTTCTTAATTGACATGTGGTCACCCTCCAAAATTAGGATGTTCTTGGTCATCTGAATGACAGATATACAAATATTTTTTAAAAATCCAAAATTTGAAACAATCCCAGTGAAAAGAGGGACTAAAATGCTGCTCATATAAGTGAAAACGATCACATAGTTCTAATTAAACTATAGTATATAGTAACGCTTGTGTCTGTAACAGGGTTGACAAAAATAACAAAACATGAGGTAGAAAAATTGTCATAAAATAATAATTTACTTAGCTTAAGATGGCACAATAAAGTCATTTTAAGGTGTCGTCATTTCATGGATATTTTAAAAAAAATAAAATAAAAGTTAATTAAACTTATTTTATTTTTAAATTTTTCCAACTGCAAAAGGCACCAATTTCATGTAATTACCCCGAAACATTGAGAGAAAAATTATTTAAAAATGAATGAGAAAAGATGGATGGGTTTAGGTTATACTACATCAAGAGGCAACAAAAGCCCATTCAATTGCATGGGAGCTACTACTTACACATGTCTCTTGGATTTGGCAGGAGGGCAGGAATCTCACTTGGGATTCCTGGAAATTGGTTTCCTAGACCTAGAGGATTAGAGAAGGTGGTTCAAATCTTCTGGCAGCAGTTTTATTAAGAATAATAAGGCCCTATGGCTGGGCGATTTTTTTGATTTTATCAATTAATTTGAATTTAATTGATAAAATTGTTTTGCCACAATTGTATTTTTTATAAATCAAGGAATCACAACTGTAAATAGAAATATTACCAACTGTTAGAATTAGACACGTTGACAATATGCTAATGATAACAGTTAAGAGAAAACAATGATCCGACCGCATGAAGGTGCACGTGATTAACTGCTCACGTGTGATGCACTCTATGAAGGACCGTAAGCAGAACATATTTCTAGGTGCTATTCACACAGATTGTGCTTTTGCATTGAAAAAGATATGACGGGCAGTGGAATAGGAAAAAATGCAAGGAGATGGGAGCTGAACTTCTTATAACTTGAGCACTGTGTTTTTAGAATGCCGTTTCATGCACAAGGTGCTGCAAAAGATACGAGTGCAATGGTCAAATGCGTCCATCAAGCACATGTTTATATAGAAAAAACTGAGCAGTGGAATGCAAAAACCTGTAAAGAACTATGTCTGATATTTCATGTTTGCATGAAATAGTCTACCGAGACAATAGTCTACTGGTCTTACACTTTTAGTGATTTTGAATTGCCTTGAATTTTGAAAAATTTTTTTGCATTTCTTGTATTATTTCTTAACATACATGTTTAAGACAAGCTTGTGCAATAAGTGCCTTCATATTTAATGCATCTCTACTGTAAAAAAGATATCTAACAAGTGATTTGTTTTACATTTATATCATGTTGACAACTTAGGCCCCGATCAGAGAGAATGCGTTTTTCAGGTTTGAAAATGCATGGGGCAACGGACTGTGCAGTGCGCTGCGGTTTTTTATGTTGCTAGCCAACCACTGAATCAGCTGTCCTGTCAGTCTAAACAAGGATTATAGCGCGAGCGCACTAAAATCTTTGATTTGCAGTAAACTGCTATATTACCAGAAACTTTAAATATAGTGGGAGTTGTGGTTCATGAAATCAGCTCCGGGTAACCTGCGACAGTCACCACAAGTTTCTCCTCCATCATTGCAGTCTCTGGACATTCTAAGCTACTGTAAACTTCCATCACCACAACGATCTCTATTAATTCGATTGGACAATGGAAAAAAATGCAAATGACGTTGGGCGTTCAGAGCGCTCCAACAAAACTCAAGGCACAGCAGGTGGCTAAAATGCGAGGCCCCCGGGGCGCATAAAACGCACACAAAACGCTCACTGCCAATAGAAAACAATTTAAAAAAGGCACCTCTCACTGCAAAAAATGCATTCTGTCTGATCGGGGCCTTAATGTGTGGTACACTTGGAATATAACTTTCTTTAATTAGATGGTTAATATAGAGAATGTTACTTGAATCATGTTACATTTTTTTAAGGTGACTTAAATGTTAGTTAAATGTAGTTAAATTTTTAAGATGACTTAAATGTAAATAAATAAATACAAATAAAAATCGAGAATTGGTCAAATGTTCTGAAGAAAACAAAATCAAGATTTTATTTTTTGCCATATCACCCAGTAGAATAATCTCAACAACATATAACTGGCAACAAAATCACTTGTATAAAATGCTTTATATGATTAGTATGTCCCAGATTTCCCCACCAATTATTTCAAAACACAATCTCACCTGCGCCAAGAACAGATTTCTCAAACTCTGTAAAAACATATGAATATCAGAACTCTTAGCACGGACTATGACTATGTGTGGTGTTGCTGTACACAAACATCAAAACATGCAAACAAGCTCTGCACTTACACACCTGGTTTAAGTACAGAGATTCTGTTTTCTAATGGCTGCTCCATTAATTTGGTGACCCACTCCTTCAGTGCAACTGCAGAGGAATGATAAGCTATCACCTCTTTACTTTCCACATTCATACGAGGGTTATAGGGCTCAACATTTACCACAGAGGGCAAATCCACAGAGGCCTGTGACAGAGATTGGTAAAGTCAAGAATACAAACATACAATCTACGTATCTTGAATTGACTTACTTTTTGTAAGAGATCCTAGACCAGCACTGGGCTTCACACACAATATTTAATCATATATACATCTAAGGCACAAATAACAGTACTAAAAATGAAAAATGTATTTCAACATTTGGTCACATAATCATACTCTGCATCACCTTTAAGAATTCCAGTGACTGCGACTGGTCCAGCAGAATGTTGATCTCAGATTTGGTCCTACTCATCTTCTCGATGTTCTCATTAAATTTCTTTATCAAGGAGACCAGTTTGCTCTGACCTTTCTCCTGTTCCTTATCGATAGCAAGCATGGCTTCTTTCTCATCTCGGTCAATCATTTCTCTAAGCTGCCTGTATTCTGCCTCAAGAACACGTTTGCGGGTTGCAGCTAGGTCCTGGGAAAGCAAAACCAAAGGAAATGAAAGCTCCACATGCTGACATACGTGATAGTTAAAACTGTATATGCACATCTTGTCATCTCTTACAGTACCTTTATCTGATTCTGCTAAAGATTCCAAAAGAAAATTAAACAGTTCCAAACCTTTAATTTGATTTGTTGCTCCTTCATCTGTGAGATAACCTGCTGATTCTTGTCAGTTTTGACTTCAAGGATGTTGAGCTTGTCAGTCAGGTCAGTCTAAAAAAGTTTGAAGAATAACAACAATTTTAGGGAATCCCGTCATTGCCATATGTTTAAGACCACACAATCCTACTAAATGTTTACATATCAAATAATACAAACCCTTAAAAACAAACAAGCAAATATTATAATTATTGGACACTATGCTTATGTTATTTTGCTTAGGGTCAGTTTAAGTCAGTATGTCTAAGATATATACATTTGATTACATTTGCAACATCCTCTGTCATTGAACTAAACTGAATCAACATTGAACTTGTTTACTTTTTTATTCATGATACTATCTACTAACCGAATTCGATTTGTTTTATAATTTGGTGGACTGCAACACTGACAATATTACTGAACTAAACTGAATCAACACTGACCTAAATTAAGCTGAATAATGAAAACTGTCTGAAATTTAAGTCATTTTAGAATTTAATTTTGCGACACTGTTTGTTTTGGTGAAGCTAATTTGAAAATCTGTATTGTATAAAAGTCTATACAAATAACTGTGACTTGACTTGAAATGTGACATGATCAGTGCAGAATGCTGATATCAGGGTACACCGGTGTTGTGCCCAATTCTGATTATTACCCCCTAGTATTGGTAGGTTTAGGAGTAGGTGTGTGGGAGGGGTTATGATTAGGGAATCAGGTAGTGATTTAAATAATTTGGGTAATAATTCGGCAGGGGGCCAGAATTCGGCACAACACCTGCGCTCTTGCTCGTGTGATATTACTTGAGTAGATTATGCTACAGTAAAAGCACTAATCAGGATTATCTATCATATTTGTTCACATCTGTTTCTACATTCAGGTTTACAAATAGGCCCTACCTTTTGTTTGAAGCGTCGCTCATCTGCCGTGATAAACTCACAGCCTTTATGCATGTCCTGCAGACAGGTACTGCAAATGCATCTCTGGTGCTGATTGCAGTAGAACTCCATCAGTTTGCCATGATTTGAACAGAGACGCTCCATCAGATCTGGCAGCGGATCAGTCAGTTGATGCGCCCGGAAAATGGCATTCTCCCGGTGAGGCCTGACATGATCCTCACAATAAGACGCCATACATGTCAGACAAGTTTTGACGGCTTTGGCCTCCATGCAGTTATCACATTTGATCGCATCTGGATCTTTCTTTTTCACCTCAAAATGTTCCTTGACTGGTTCAGAGACACCCGCTTTTATTCTATAGGCGTCCAGCACCGCGCTGAGGACGGTGTTCTTCTTTAATTCAGGTTTACTGGGGAACACCATTCGGCAATGAGGGCAGGACAGAGATGATATCCTGTCGTTCCATGTCGCTTCGAGACAGTTGGCGCAGAAACTGTGTCCACAGATTAAACTCACCGGGTTCTCGAATAGACATAAACAGATACTGCATGTCAACTCGTCCTCAAGACCCAGTAGAGACATATTTTCCGCCATTGTGACACGTCCAAGTTAACAGCGATCACTGAGTCAACACTCAACTGCTTGCCCTTAGTGAAAACGAAACTTATAGCGATGTGTCGTTCGCGAACGAGCCGGCTCTAAGAGCCGATTCTTTGTAGCGAACGAGAAGAGCCGACTCACGTCGGGGAGAGCCGAATCTTCAGCCGGAGCCTTCTATTTTAACCCAATTTAGCAATTGTAAATGGTTTGTGTGTTGGGAAGCAATTTTTTATTCAGTGTTTTTATGAAAGCATTATTTTTATGCATTTTTTCATTAAAAAAAATAAAAATAAAAATACACATGCGGCTAATCACATGGGAGGACAGACTAGGATCATACCATTATGTGAAAGTAGGAAGGGGGACACACGCTCCGAAGATAGCGAGTGTAGTGGTAAAGACTAGATACACAGAGCGACAGAGAGAGACGGATTTAAACGCAAGCGTGTTGGTTAAGGTAGGAAGACACTGCATTGTTGCAACATCGGTCCCCCTCAGAGAGTCTTCTCAAAAACAGGACAAATAATCACAGAGAGGAGAAATCGCATCAGCACCTCCAAGCTGAGGCATCTGATATTTCTGTATGCCAACCTGCACTAAACACTAAAGTGTCTTAATGTTAAGACTTGTGCCTTTATTTATTTATTTATTTGATTTGTTTGCTGTGTTCAATTGTTCAATTAAAGTTGTATTAAAATGTTAAATAAAAGAAACTATATTTTTTTGTAACGAAAAAATGCATAAAAATAAGGCTATTATAAAAACACTGAATAAAAAATTGCTTACCAACACACAAATTGGGCTAAAATAGAAGGCTCCGCGTGATACTAAATGAAGAGCCATTTGGGAGTCGTAAGAGCCGGCTCTTCTAGGGGAGCCGAGCCAAAAGAGCCGAATCTTTGAAAAGAGCCGGACTTCCCATCACTAGGTGGAGAAACGAAACTTCAACGGTCCACACGACACAGAGTCATGAATCAACGAATGAATTAAGAGTTGTCAATAGACAAAATATTACAAAAAATTACCTGCGATTGTTTCTAATTTTGAATGTACTGATATCCTTAGGCCATATGTAGAAAATGTTTAATTTAAATAAGTACATTCTTTCATGCTTCATTCAAATGTTCTAATACCGTTTATATAAAAAGAAATGTAATAATAATATTTTTTAAAAGCTTAAAATAAAACAAATCTGCGCAGATTTTTATTTTATTATTATTTTTGCGTAAAGGTACAAATATCATAGTTTTTTCAAATGTACACAAGAGGGCGCTGTTTGCTTATAAAATCGTTGTTTGAATATTTGGTTGGTAAAAGCAAGACTGAAAATCTGTGTAGAATTTGGAAGATTCTGAAGAACTTTTTGAAGAATAATTTTTGCATGATCCTTATTTTATTTAACTATAGTCGCGACATCAAGGTGTTTATTTCAGTTGCCACTCAATTTCACTAGTAAGTCCCTTCAGCAAATTGCATTCATGGAAAAAGATCTCATCTCTGTACAGTGGCGGAGCCAGGATGTGTTCACAGGGGTGGCCAGGGAGGGGCCAGCAACCAGTCTGGGGTGGCACAGAAATATTCATTATTTCAATATAAAAATGTGTTTCATTGTAAAGTACTGGACTGTTTTATTACCTAGAACACAACTGAATATAATTAATTTCTACTTAATTGTAGTTGATATATTTGTGAATTAGGTCAAGTAATACTGAGTGAATATGACAATTTTTGTATTATTCCTCACCTCCAAGTATTTTAATAAAGGGGCTCACTATAGCTTTATTGCTCAGTCAGCTTGGTTCTGGTTCTTAAAACCCCCTAAAGCTTGTTCTCCATCATTGCAAACTCGTGGATTAGACATGCAGCTAGTGATATATAAGAAAGTGAAAAAGTCAACAGCACATACATGCCAGAATGTAAAATGAGCTATTTTATGCATTTAAATGGTTTCATTTTCGTTTGTACTTTACAAATTAACGAGAGAAAAAAGTGCACTGTGCACTGTGCTCACTTTTACTTGTGCATTAAATAACAAATAAAAAATACATAGCCTATCAGCTTGCGCCTTATATTGTGATCTCGAGTTGCAGAATAGGCTATATTTTATTTGCATTTGAGACACGTTCTTTAATGTGATGTATATACAGGTGCATCTCAATAAATTAGAATGTCGTAGAAAAGTTCATTTATTTCAGTAATTCAACTCAAATTGTGAAACTCGTGTATTAAATAAATTCAATGCACACATGAATTTATTTAATACACGAGTTTCACAATTTGAGTTGAATTACTGAAATAAATGAACTTTTCCACGACATTCTAATTTATTGAGATGCACCTGTATAGCCTACATGCATGCACAGTTTGCAACTTTAATCGTCTTTTTGGTAATTTCATGACTTAACTGACGACAGAACTACATTGTATGCTCATAGTTTTTGTGTGTGTGTGTGCTTTATATATGATATAGAGCGTGCGCCTCATACTGAAGATTGTGAAGAGTGTGCGCTCTGAGCTCAGTACGGCTGACAGGACAGGAAAGTTTGTTTTACTGACATACAGCCTAACAACATCTCATCAGACGCAGTTCACTGTTGTTCTACTGAAGCTCATTTAGCTCCTGTACCTTTTCCGCGCTCGTTTGACTTGCGCCTGGCGCTGAGGTGATGTTGAAGTGCGCGTCTGAAAAGTCTCCCGCTTGATGTGGTCGTAAAGAGATACGGCGGTTGCGCGTCTTAATAAATGCACTTCTTGTCGAGAAAAAAAGCGACAAAAAACGCAGTTGTGAGTGGGGTGGCCAAGCTTAGGTCAGTGGTGGCCACGGCCACCCCCTGGCTCCGCCCCTGTCTCTGAATCTGTGATCTCATAGGCTGTATAGACCAGAAGACTTTTGTGAGTCATGGTGAATTATGCTTTAATCCTTTTATTTATTTTTTAATTCTACAATCTGTATTTAGTATTCGACAATTTATTTTATATGCTATTTATGAATTTCTCTTCTGGTTGCAGATAGATATTCACAATAGCCTATATATTTACAGGCCTATTTAATTAATTAATTCATTCATTCATTAGCCAATTTTAATTAATTATGGCCCAACTTTGATCAGAGATGTTTTGTACAAGCACAGTTTTTAGGGGGACATTTTCAGAATCTTTGAACAACTTATACTATATAATACGTATAATACTACTAGCTAACTTATTATTTGACTCATTTGCTGACCAATCCCCTCATGCCTCCATTCCTATCTTGTCCCCTGATTCCACACACATTCTGAATACACATTATAGAGTATTAAACTTAGAGTGTGAAGGTTATGAGAGTAAAAAATCCATCCACACTTGACCCTACACTAGCACTCTCTATACTATTTCTATTCTGTCTACTTGTTTGCTTTTTATTCATTAAAAAATCTTGACCCTCTAACACTATTCTATTTCTGTTCTATACTGGTTTTCTTTTTATTTATTATTAAAAAAAACTTGACCCACTACCACTAGAACTCTCTATACTATTTCTATTCTATATACTTTTTATTTTTATTTATTATTAAAAACGTGACCCTCTAACACTAGCACTCTCTATACTATTTCTATTCTATCTACTTTGTTTTCTTTTATTTATTATAAAAATACATGACCCTCTAACACTAACTTGGCCCTCTATTCTATTTCTATTTTATCTACTATTTATTATTTAAAAAAAACATTGCTACATGTACTGCGTTAGACTATCCAAGACTTGTCACAGCACTTACATATTGTTGCTCTTTTGTTGCTTTGATTGCTTCTATTGTCCTTCTATTGTAAGTTGCTTTAGATAAAGGTGGCTACTAAATGATAAATGTAAAAATTAGAGAACTGTTAACATTTGAATTAAATTACAATTTAAGTACAATTAGATTTGGAATGTTTATAGCAAGATAGTTAACATATACTAAGACTAATTGCCTCTTGATGTATATGTTAACTAACTTGCTTAGTGACTTCACTGCCCTAATTCTAAATTATCCACAGATGTCTAAATAAAGGTTCTTGAGTGTGTGTGGTCACAAGTTTACTGACTGTCAGCCTGACACACTTTTTTTCTGCATGTTTTTGTGCATATTTATGCATATCACATGGATTTTTTTTCTAGTTACTTGTCCTTAAATCTATGATACATTATTTTGTTGTTTGATTAGAATTAAGATCACATACAGCAGGCCACTTGGAAGAGCATCAAAAATACATACTGAGTTTGCCTCCATGCATCACACTGAGATCTGACAATAACCCTCAGTGGTGTTAGTGTGACCCCTGACTTTGACATCTTCTGGCATGGTGTATGACATTTGGCACCACGCTTATCTTATGTTGGCAGCTGATACGTCTCAGCAATAATTAATCCAGTGTTAAATGCTAACCTAATTACACAAGGAATCAATGACCTTTCTTCCAGCAGGAAATACTCCAGGAAACTGCTAAAGGTTAAGGGCCACTTGTAATTTTAGCAGCACATTTAGCATAAATTATTTGAAAAGCAGAGGACCAACATTTTTTTGATTTAGAAGGCTTCATATTTTATGTTGGTCTGCCAGAGGTGAAGGACAATATGGTAATGGATGTTACATGACAGTAATGGTATCATCTGAATCAGTAGGTTCTCCTGTTTAATTTGGAGTATTATATGTAACATCCATGATTTTTTAAAAAGCTGATGGATATGGATCATGGATGACCAGTCACATAGAGTTGACAGTCATGGCAATTGTGAAATTAAAATGTACAATAAAAAAAAGTCCATATAATGATGTTAAACAATGCATCACATTTCTTTGGACTTCCTGTTTCAGCTTTGTTTAGTCTTTCACCCAGCAGCAGCACACCAGCCTTTTAGAGTGAAGAAGTTTATAATGTCATTTCTGTCCACAGAGGAACTGCATTATAGGAACTAGAGACAAAAAGAGGAAGAATAAAAAATCTACTTCTCATGCTTGAACACAAAGTTGATGTTTGGGTTCAGGATGACCCCTAAATGTCATTGAGTTGTGTGAGGGGTGGGTGTGTTTGATATTTGTGATGTGTTG